CAAGTCCACACTCTATCAGGAGAGAGGGAGAGAGAGAGAGAGAGAGAGAGAGGGAGAGGAATTATTATTAAAGTTATTATTATTATACTTTTGTATTGTGTCGTGTTCCAGTCTCAGTCTCTCACAAAGATCTTTAATACGTAAATATGACATTTGATACACCTGTAAGGAATGAAGAGAGAATACACTTCAATGAATAAATGAGTACAATAGACCACATGAACTCACTCCAGTATAACATGTACATGTACTAGTCAGGGTTTATCTGAAGCATAAAATTAGATTTTAACAATTTTTAAAGTTACTCAAAATTGGGCCAAAGTCCCTGTACTATAGTACAGGGTCACAGGCCAAATTTGCCAAAATTAAAAAGTAGAGAATTTTTCATTTTATAGTTTTCCCTGATACATATACATGTTCTTATGTTGCATAGAAAGTTTGAGCTGATTCCGATTAAAATTAGATTTGTTATGAATTTTTTAAGTCACTCTGAAATCGGGTCATTTAGCACTTTGCAAAAGTTTCCCCTCATTGACGTATTCAAAAGTTAATTAATTAGACACTAACTTACTTTTCTATAAAACAAGGACAGTGAGCCAGTCTTCTTAGGACTAGACCGCTGCATCACTGGAGTGGGCGTGTCACCACTAGTAGGCGTGGTCAATATGGGCGTGGTCACACTAGTAGGGGTCTTAGCCTGAGACGAGGGTGAGACTGTTAACATGAGAGTAGGGACAGAAACCTTATCAGGAGAGGGACCAAGAGGAGACCTCATATTAGCCATGGAGACCAAGGCTTGAAGACTCACAGGATCCTGGGATGATGGGCTAGAGACAGACACGCCCCCTGGTAAAGGGGTGTGGTTTTTCTGAGGGGATGAGTTTTGATGTTGCGGTGATAGACTTTGTTGTTGTTTTATTAGAGACGTGAGTGCTAGTACTGCTGATATATTGGAGGATGGGCCAGTAGCAGGTACTGATGGGGCAGTACTGGAGTCTGGGGGAGAACTGCTGAGGAATTTATTTAAATCCAATCCAGAAGAAGACTTTAACTGAGTCACCTAATGAATGAATGAATGAATGAATAATAATAATAATAATAATAATAATAATAATAATAATAATAATAATAATAATAATAATAATAATAATAATAATAATAATAAATGATAATAATAATAATAATAATTGATAATAATAATAATAATAATAATAATAATAATAATAATAAATGATAATAATAATAATAATAATTGATAATTTTTTTGATTAGGCAAAGTTTGGTGGAGTATAAATTTTAACAAATTGAGCTTCAAAATCCACAATCAAAATTCGTTTAA